TTTCATCAGACCAGAGAATTTTGTTTCTCATGGTCTGAGTCCTTTAGGTGCCTTTTGGCAAACTCCAAGCGGGCTGTCATGTGCCTTTTCCTGAGGAGTGGCTTCCGTCTGGCAACTCTACCATAAAAGCCTGATTAGTGGAGTGCTGCAGAGATGGTTGTCCTTCTGGAAGGTTCTCCCATCTCCACAGAAGATCTCTAGAGCTCTGTCAGAGTGACCATCAGGTTCTTGGTCCCCTCCCTGACCAAGGCCCTTCTCCCCCGATTGCTCAGTTTGGCCGGGCGGCCAGCTCTAGGAAGAGTCTTGGTGGTTCCAGACTTCTTCCATTTAAGAATGGAGGCCACTGTGTTCATGGGGACCTTCAATGCTGCAGACATTTTTTGGTACCCTTCCCCAGATCTGTGCCTTGACATAATCCTGTCTTGGCGCTCTACGGACAATTCCTTCAACCTCATGGCTTGGTTTTTGCGCTGACATGCACTGTCAACTGTGGGACCTTATATAGACAGGTGTGTGCATTTCCAAATCAAGTCCAATCAATTGAATTTACCGCAGGTGGACTCCAATCAGGTTGTAGAAACATCTCAAGGATGATCAATGGAAACAGGATGCACCAGAGCTCAATTTCGAGTCTCATAGCAAAGGGTCTGAATACTTATGTAAATAAGGTTTTCTGATTTGTATCTTTAATAAATGTGCAAATGTGAAGTGTTCCAAAAACCTGTTTTTACATGTGAAATGTCAAATGTGAAGTGTTCCAAAAACACGTTTTCACGTGCTGACATGTTATCACGTGTAGTTTCATGTTATCACATGTTGCTTCAAATGTAACTTCACATAAGATCATGTGATCACAAGAGATCATGGCAGTGGACACTTTTTATTTGATTTAATTGCTTGAGGTTCAAATTTCACCACATCATGCTAGCCTTCAGTGTGTATAAAAAAAAATTGAACATCTGCTGTACAAGCATTATTTTATCAGCAACCAGATAAGCATCCTGCTTAAATTTGAACTGTTAATCAGATTGCACGTGTGTAACATTGATGTAATCTGAGCATGCTCTCCTATAAAGATGGACATCAGTCAGTCAGTGTGTCTATCTATCAAACAGTTGTCTGGTTGGTTGGATGTTGATGGGAAGAGCTATGGGTTTTTGGTGACTACTGTCAGTAGTTCTGCTGGTCCATGATGCTGCAGGTGCGGTCTTAAAAACGCAACATCTCAAGTTTATTTTAATATTGAAATATTCTGGACATGGGTCGGTAGCTATCAAACCATAATCTTAAGAATACTGTAAAAAGCAGATTTATGAGTAAAAAAGTTATTCGCTTAAAGCTGCCAGTAAAGTCACCTTCCCGTCACCTAAGCTAGGCTTAACTGGTTTAGCTGTACTGACAGTTAACCTGTGTGTGCTGATGAGAGAAAGGTATCAAATCCATGTGACAATGACACACTGACTTTATTTTCACCCTCCAACACCCCTTCCCCAGGGTTGTTTGTGCCCCATGCTCAGAGCTCCATTGTGGGGGGAGAGGATGCTCCAGTGGGCCGGTAGCCATGGATGGCCTACCTGTTTATCACCAAGGGCATGGAGACTTTCCTATGTGGCGGATCCCTCCTCACTGAGGGGTGGGTGCTCACCGCTGCACACTGTGGACACATAAGTGTTTGTGTGTGATAGTTTACATGTAGAACATGTGAACTTGTGACCTATCTGGTATATTTTAAATTAATCAGAAAAGTTACTTTCTCTCCAGGGATGGTGATTTTATCAACTCCTAGCAGGTTGAGAATCCTCAAAGATCTGCCAGAGTTTGTATGAAATTCACAATATTTATGTGTTTTGTTTGTCTGTGAATGAATCAGCAATAAGAATGTAAAACCGGAGCAGTCCTGTGCTCACCTGGGCGTACACAGCCTATAGGAGCTGTACCACCACCCTTCTTCGGAGGACAAAAATAACTTTTTTTTAACCTTTTTTTATTATTATTTTACCTGTACATTCTACACACATTTTACATACACTTTTTTTTACACATTGGTTACATAGCGAGAATATAGTTATTTTATAAACTGTACATTACATCTGGATAGATACTGTATACATTATATAGTGTTTTTAGATCATGAGCTTTTAAACTCACCTCTCAGCTACTCTCAGTCCATCCCACCTATCTTCATAAACCACCCTCTTATAATTTCCATGTGCCATATATTTTCAACTGTGCTGTGATGTTTCACAAAAATTCAGAACCTTTCTAATCGCATAGTATCTACAGATTGTAAGTTAAAGAAGAATATATTTTCTAAGGGTATTATTATATTGTTGATTGGCTTTCCAAAGCTTCCAACAGTGCTATTTGTAGGGTTACTTTTAGGTAAATATGATTTTTCAGCCATTCCTGAACCTGTGAACGGAAACAAAATACATAGGGGCAATACCACCATAAGTTATCTAATGATTCTGTCTCTTCGCAGCAAAATCTGCAGAGCTGAGATGGTTGGTTGTATGCCCCATATACAGTTGAAGTCGGAAGTTTACAGACACTTAGGTTGGAGTCATTAAAACTCGTTTTTCAACCACTCCACAAATTTCTTGTTAACAAACTATAGTTTTGGCAAGTCGGTTAGGACATCTACTTTGTGCATGACACAAGTAATTTTTCCAACAATTGTTTACAGACAGATTATTTCACTTATAATTCACTGCATCACAATTCCAGTGGGTCAGAAGTTGACTGTGCCTTTAAACAGCTTGGAAAATTCCAGAAAATGATGTCATGGCTTTAGAAGCTTCTGATAGGCTAATTGACATAATTTGAGTCAATCAGAGGTGTACCTGTGGATGTATTTCAAGGCCTACCTTCAAACTCGGTGCCTCTTTGCTTGACATCATGGGAAATGAAAAGAAATCAGCCAAGACCTCAGAAAAACATTTGTAGACCTCCACAAGTCTGGTTCATCCTTGGGAGCAATTTCCAAACGCCTGAAAGTACCACGTTCATCTGTACAAACAATAGTACGCAAGTATAAACACCATGGGACCGCGCAGCCGTCATACCACTCAGGAAGGAGACACGTTCTGTCTCCTAGAGATGAACGTACTTTGGTGCGAAAAGTGCAAATCAATCCCAGAACAACAGCAAAGGACCTTGTGAAGATACTGGAGGAAACAGGTACAAAATTATCTATATCCACAGTAGAACGAGTCCTATATCAACATAACCTGAAAGGCTGCTCAGCAAGGAAGAAAGCCACTGCTCGAAAACCGCCATAAAAAAGCCAGACTACGGTTTGCAACTGCACATGGGGACAAAGATCGTACTTTTTGGAGAAATGTCCTCTGGTCTGATGAAACAAAAATAGAACTGTTTGGCCATAATGACCATCGTTATGTTTGGATGAAAAAGGGGGACTTGCAAACCGAAGAACACCATCCCAAATGTGAAGCACGGGGGTGGCAGCATCATGTTGTGGGGGTGCTTTGCTGCAGGAGGGACTGGTGCACTTCACAAAATAGATGGCATCATGAGGAAGGAAAATTATGTGGATATATTGAAGCAACATCTCAAGACATCAGTCAGGAAGTTAAAGCTTGGTCGCTAATGGGTCTTCCAAATAGACAATGACCCCAAACATACTTCCAAAGTTGTGGCAAAATGGCTTAAGGACAACAAAGTCAAGGTATTGGAGTGGCCATCACAAAGCCCTGACCTCAATCCTATAGAACATTTGTGGGCAGAACTGAAAAAGCGTGTGCGAGCAAGGAGGCCTACAAACCTGACTCAGTTACACCAGCTCTGTCAGGAGGAATGGGCCAAAATTCACCCAACGTATTGTGGGAAGCTTGTGGAAGGCTACTCGAAATGTTTGACCCAAGTGAAACAATTTAAAGGCAATGCTACCAAATACTAATTGAGTGTATGTAAACTTCTGACCCACTGGGATTGTGATGAAATAAATAAAAGCTGAAATAAATCACTCGCTACTATTATTCTGACATTTCACATTCTTAAAATAAAGTGGTGATCCTAACTGACCTAAGATTACTAGGATTAAATGTCAGGAATTGTGAAAAACTGAGTTAAAATGTATTTGGCTAAGGTGTATGTAAACTTCCGACTTCAACTGTACATAACATTCTGTTGGTGGCAAGAATTTTGTATAATAACTTATATTGAAAAAACAAGTTTTGAATCAAGCATTGTTTTGTGTATCAGTTCATAAACTATGTACCATGGAATCGGCACATCGAAAATACTATTTTGCAACCTGTATGGCGCCGCTGTCAACATTTTGTACCTCAAATGAAACTGGTAAATTTGTCGATTTATAACAAATAGTTTTTGTAAATGTTGGGCAGATAAAAAAGTTCAATTTCTTCTCCCCCTTCCATTTTTTTGCAGTAATGCTGCAATCAGTTGGTTGTAATTCTGGATAGCACAAACATTTCCATATATTTTTGTTAACAGCACGTGTGACATAACTCCACCATTCCTAATATCATTCACAAAGATAATTCCCTAAAATTAAAATAAATGCATAAACAATGTTTTTATTTAATCAATTAGTATATTTGAGTTTAATAATATTTGTTCTGTCTTTTCTGGGGGATGAAACTGGAATTGCAACCAGCTTTGTATGTTTAATAAAGGGCGATATTTTGAAGATGGTTCCATTTTCAATTAACGGAAAGTGACAGGTTGTAATCTGGATAAAGGGAAAAAGGCAAGGGGATCTACTGGACAACCAGTAGATGTTATTTCCAGATGCTAATAGCTTTTCTTCATCCCCCTATTCTTGTTCTCCTCCCTCTCTTTCTCCTTCTTTATTTTTTTACTCTAGATCCCTTACTTTATCGTTTACCCTCTCTGTCCCCCTCTCATGTTCTCCAGGTCCGTTGTCTGCCGATAAGATCCTGCAGCAGCTGAGTGTCCCGCATTAACTCATTAAGGAGTATGCTTGCCTGGAAGCGTATTCTGTTCTCACCTTTGACATGTGTGCTGGGTTCTGGGAGGGTGGAAAGGACACCTGTCAGGTACTGCATCACTTGAAGGAACACAGTCTTACTTGTGGTTTCTCTTGTCCACTTTTCAGGGGGACTCTGGTGGGCCGTTGGTGCGTCTCTCTGCTGGTCAGTTTGTCCAGGTGGGAATCACGAGTTTTGGGAAAGGCTGCGGTAGAGAAGTCTTCCCTGGAGTCTACACCCGGTTGGCTAGCTACATGGACTTCATCCAGATTATTAACTCCGACACCAGGCTTCTGCTGAGGTCATCCTGACTGTTTATAATAGGACATTAGTCCATCCCTCTTTTTATATTCTTCTTTATCTCAGCTGAACCAAAATCTCTGTGACTTGTGACTTTTGTTAAAGGGATAGTTCACCCAAATTCACAAATAGACATTACAAATTGGCAATGGTTTCCTTACCCTGTACGCAGTCTATGGACAAGGTATGACAGCAAGCCTTGCTTTGTTTACCTTGTGTAGCTCAAATAAGTTACTGATGAATGATATCGGGACTATTGATACTGTTTGTGAGTAAACTACTCGTTGATTATTGACTGTGACTATTCATACTGCAATAATTATTTAGTCAACTCTGAAAGAATCAACCTGTGTGTGAGTATGTTGTTTTAACTGCTGTGGGTGTGAGGCTGATATTGTGACTGTTCAAATGTGTCATTCATTGCCGGTCGGTTGGCATCTACAATATTACTGTATTCCTTAGACTAATGTGTATCGTCCTTGTCCATGTTTTTATGGCTACAGCATGACATGCTGTGAATTTCTGACCCGGCTGTCACTTATAAATGGTAGTTACACCCCCACCTAGCAGTTGCTTTAGAGCAGGCAGTCTGCCCAAACCCAAAACAGGATATCACAAAAGTGCATTTAGTGAATATGATTCTTTATTTCTATTTCCAGTGTATAGAATATCATACATTATTAATATACTCTACAAGGTCTTCCTCCAGTGGTTGTTTCAGTTGAGAGAAGAAGGCACATGTACTTAGGAATCATCAAGATGACAACACTGAATCACGAGGGATAGTCTGGGGGAGGAGCTTGTAAGTAGAGGGGGGGTGGGGACAAAGAGGTGGAGCTCAAGCTCAGCAGCGAAGGGGGAGTGACTAGGGGCAGAGGATCACAGATTCTTCTCTTGGGGGAGGAGGGGTTTGAGGTGACGAAACACACAACGCTCCTGCATTAAACATAACATAACAGTGACATCACAAGTCCAAAGCAAAAAATATATATAAAAAAGTGAAAGAGGGAAAGAGTTTTGGGAAGAAAAGAGTAACAGGAATAGACCCATGAAGGGGGTGGGGTCAGCCCAGAACTGTATCAGCTGAGTGGATAGTGTGAGGAAATGGGGATGTGGTTTGATATTGAAAGGGGTGGGTCCATACTTAATAGGCGTGGTTGGCCACATAGAGGGATTCTCCGCCGGCGGCGCCCCTGTCTCCAGAGGAAACGTACTTGCCCTGACAGGCCTTGCTGTTGTTCTGTAAACGAGAGAGATAGAGGAGAGAGAGAAAGAAAGAGTGAGTGAGAGAGAAAGAAAGAGTGAGTGAGAGAGAGAGAGGAGAGAGCGGATATGGGAGAGTGAGAAGAAAGTAAGATGGAGAAAGAGATGGTATGTGACAGAAAGTAGAAGACACAGATAAAAGACAACGATTAGTACAGACCCTCTGTCTCCCCACACAAGAACACATGGAGCCTTAGCTCCACTTCCTATCTTGTTATAGGAACAGTAGGTTCACACCCCCATGGCCTTACTTTATTAGGTTTATAAAGTGTTTGTAGTACTGTTTGCAAAAACAAATGACCACCCGATTTATAGGCTACAAACCCTCATGATATCATTCTGTCAGGTAGGCCTACTTTGGAGTCAACATTTAATTGGGAAGATTTTTTGGGAAAGCATTAAAAATGACTGTTTCGGCATTCTAACTGGCTACACAACATACGGGCGCACACAAACAGGCGTTACTTCAGAAAGTCGCAGGAAATACAAACCTGTGATGCATTCTTTTTATGAATAATGAAAAACGAGTTTAATTTAACTACTCTACCGCTGTCTTTCGTCTGTAAGCTGCTCCATGGGACAACCAGTTGTTTGAGCTGCATGCTCTTGCTGCCCAACATATGATATTCTGCTCAATTCGAGCCCTGAGTGTAGGGAAATTGAGCATTTTGTTTGGGCTCAAATCAGAGGAGAGAATAACACATTTCTTTTGAAAAGCAGTAATTTTTTCAATCATGTCAATAACTATTTTATTCCTCCCCTGTAGTACCAAATAAAGTCCATTCAAGTGATTGCAGATCACTCAAAAAACAAACCTGTGCTACGAACTTCCTATCAAGCATTTTTGCTAGATTTGTGTTGGCTTTCTTGTGGCGGCAATCACGGAAAAAAGCAACTATCTCCTCCCTAAGCTCACATACTCTCTTTAGAACATTACACTTGCTTAGCCACCTAACATCACTATGTAAAAGTAGATCATGATGACTACGAAACAAGTGATGTTCGTGCGGTGGCACTGCCAGATGTTTGCAGCCGCGATTGGCTGTATGTTGGGGGATATTAATTGACAGCACTTAATGGGCGGGACTACAGGAAAACAGATTCTCCTACTGGAGAATACTGACAGAGGGCTCATTTTGGCACTAAACATCATATCTTTTTTAAAAAATTTTTTTATTAATGTTCCGAATTGATCAAAGGGGTAGCCTGAGGTGGTGTAGCGGTTAGGGCCACATATATACTGTCTTGGCGTGGATCCAGATCCGGCCCACGCCCTTCTGGCACAAACCTCTCTCCAATCTTTCCTGTCTTTCTCTCACTGTCTCTAATGCCAATAAAGAAAAATACACAAGGAGTGGGAATGCAAAATAATTGATCAAAGTTCCATTATAAATGTATAAACCGGCTGCTAGTTGAATAGCCCTGCTGTAGTTTGTTATCACAGCGGGTCACAATAATTATAAGAACCTTGTACCATGTATTTCAGTCTGTATTCACTGCTACTGTTGAACTATTCACAAAGTACCATCAGGCTTACTATATAAATGCCTTAACCTGACTCTGAGAATTGACAGCTGTGCTGCATTAGAGTCACTTGATAGATTAATACTATTTTGGGGGAGTTATCATGGTTAAAAGTGTATCTAGGAACACTTTGCTTGCCTGGTGCAATGGAACAAATTGAATAATGCCGAAAGTGCAAATCCCGCCCACCTGACACTCCTGGCAGGCAGGCTCAATGAAACGCTCAATCAAAGTATTTGAAAGAAAACAAATACTACTATTTGAACCCAGGTCTCAATGCCACCCCTCGTATCTCCCTCCCTCCCTCATGTTCTTCTCTCTGTGTGGGTCATACCAGGGCTCTCTTGATGAACTCCTCCTGGCAGGCCTTGCCGTTCTCTGGCTTGCCTCCCCAGGCCTTGAGGGCGGAGGCCTGCAGGGCGCGGCCGTAGGAGAAGGTGATGGCCCAGGGCCGGTGAAGGGGACACTGGTTCATGGCATTCAGGTTGATGGAGGCCTCCTCCTCAGACTGGCCGCCAGACAGGAAGGTGATGCCTGGGGAAGGACGGAGGGAGGGAGACAGGGAGAGGAAGGGTAAGATAAGAGAGGGGGAGGGGATGTGTGTGAGGGAGGGGGGGGTTGTGTGTATGTGTGTGTATGTGTGTGTGTGGAAAGTGGGTTGAGTGAGTGTGTGCGTGCGTGCGTAAAGGACGTCATGCTGCTTGCTTAGTGTGTACCACTTCCTCCCGATTCGGCACATACCTGGCTCGAAACCGGGACCTCTACTTCACAAACACACGTGACTGTCCTCCCTCAAGCATATCTACGGGTTGCGCCACTCAAAAGCTAGCTCTTGAGCGGCGCAAGCGTGGACACTTAAGGCTGAGGAGTACGTTTCACACATCTCCATGTGCTACACGTGCATGCATGCATGTGTGTGTATATGTGTGTCTCCATATTTATATATGTACACTACCAGTCAAAAGTTTGGACACACCTACTCATTCAAGGGTTTTTCTTTATTTTTTACATTGTAGAATAATAGTGAAGACATCAAAACTATGAAATAACACATATGGAATCATGTAGTAACCAAAAAAAAGTGTTAAACAAATCAAAATATATTTTATATTTGAGATTCTTCAAATAGCCACCCTTTGCCTTGATGACAGCTTTTCACACTCTTGGCATTCTCTCAACCAGCTTCATGAGGTAGTCACCTGGAATGCATTTCAATTAACAGGTGTGCCTTGTTAAAAGTTAATTTGTGGAATTGATTTCCTTATTAATGCATTTGAGCCAATCAGTTGTGTTGTGACAAGGTAGGGGGGGGTATACAGAAGATAGCCCTATTTGGTAAAAGACCAAGTCCATATTATGGCAAGAACAGCTCAAATAAGCAAAGAGAAACGACAGTCCATCATTACTTTAAGACATTAATGTCAGTCAAAACGGAAAATGTCAAGAACTTTGAAAGTTTCTTCAAGTGCAGTCGCAAAAAACATCAAGCGCTATGATGAAACTGTCTTACCTCTGCTGCAGAGGATAAGTTCCTTAGCGTTACCAGCCTCAGAAATTGCAGCCCAAATAAATGCTTCAGAGTTCAAGTAACACACACATCTCAACATCAACTGTTCAGAGGGGACTGTGTGAATCAGGCCTTCATGGTCAAATTGCTGCAAATAAACCACTACTAAAGGAAACCAATAAGAAGAGACCTGCTTGGGCCAAGAAACAAGAGCAATGGACATTAGACCGGTGGAAATGTAGATGGCTTGGGATGAGTCGGACGGCAGAGTGAAGGAAAAGCAGCCAACAAGTGCTCAGCATATGTGGAAACTCCTTCAAGATTGTTGGAAAAGCATTCCAGGTGAAGCTGGTTGACAGAATGCCAAGAGTGTGCAAAGCTGTCATCAAGGCAAAGGGTGGCTATTTGAAGAATCTCAAATATAAAATATATTTGTTTAACACTTTTTTTGGATACTACATGTTTCCATATGTGTTATTTCATAGTTTTGATGTCTTCAATATTATTCTACAATGTAATATTTTTTTACAAATAAAGAAAAATCATTGAATGAGTAGGCGTGTCCAAACTTTTGACTGGTAGTGTATATGTCTCTCCTTCTCACCAGGCACGGCCGGGGGCACGGTGCGGCGCAGGGCGGTGACAGTTGCCATGGCTATCTCCTGGTTGCTGTACTTTTGGGAGCAGGAGTGTCCGGGGGTGACCATGTTGGGCTTCAGCAGGGTGCCCTCCAGGTACACATGGTGATCAGACAGAGCCTTATACACTGCAGCCAGAACCTGGGGGGGAGGAGGGGGAGAGAGACAAGGGGACAGAGAGAGAGAGAGAGAGCGCAAGAGAGAGAGAGAGACAAGGGGACAGAGAGAGAGAGAGACAAGGGGACAGAGAGAGAGACAAGGAGAGAAAGGAAATAGAAGAAATAGGGATGAGACAGACAGAAATAGTTAGAGATGTTGACATTGAAATTGATTGAATGACTGATTGATCTAATGAGTCTTCCTATCCTACCCAGACTAAGCACGCTCTATTCCAATACCCACACTAGCACACTAATGTTGCGTTTACACAGGCAGCCCAATTCTGATATTTTTTTCACTAATTGGCCTTTTGACCAATCAGATCAGATCTGAACAAGATCTAATGTGAAAAGATCTGATGTGATTGGTCAAAAGACCAATATGTGGGAAAAAGATCAGAATTGGGCTGCCTGTATAAATGCAGCCTACTTAGAATGAAGCAGACATGCATTTTAAGTGGCATTCTAGAATGGCCATTGGAAGGTAGCCACTGTTTAGTCAGAGCAATCCATCACCTTCTCAGTGACATACTGGCAGCGCTTCAGGTCATGGTCTCCGTCTGGCAGGATCTCGGGCTCCACGATGGGCACGATGCCATGCTAGGGAAGGGCACAGGAGCATGGCAACCAGCATCATGACTACAGAACAGACAATGCAACTTTATTGGTTAGGGTGCCTGTGCCCGGCATTTCAATGGCACTGGAGTTGGCAACTTGGCACTCGAGCTAATTTGATTCACTTGGTGGTTACCTCTATAGCTACAGAGCAGGCTAAAAAAACTACAACTCCTTGATAAGTAATTATAGTGGTGATATGGTTTTTCGAAGCAGAGATGTGAAACATTTATAAGAAATAGATATTGTTTTGTGGAGATTGATGAAGAGTGGGGAATGATGTTATGTAAGCGTGAACTGTAGGGGCCAAGTGTGTGCCAACTCATTTTATGTGTGCCAATATGTTCACACATGTTCAATGCGTTTGTTGTTCTTTATGTGTGTGTGTGTCTCTCACCATCTGGCAGATGCTGGCGTAGCGGGCCAGGACGTTGGCGTTCTCCTTGATGGCCAGCTCTGAGGGGGTGGTGTCAGTGATCTTCAGCACACAACGCCACTTAGCAAAGTCAGCGCCGTCCTTTTTGTACTGGGCACACCGCTCGTACAGCCCATCCAGACCTGAGGGTGAGTGAGTGAGTGATAAAGAGGGGATGGATATGTTTAACATTATGAAATAAACATGACTCGACACTTTGTTCCAGTTTCACTCTTCAAACCATCCCCTGAATACAATCTGCATATGTAGCAAAGTTGAGCTCAATACTAGAGGTCAAAGGTCACCTAGCCCTGGCGTCATCTCTCACCCTGAGTGGTGGTCTCTCCGTTGGTCCCGGCCAGGGGGACGACACCTTTGTCCACCTTGATGCCCACCACCATGTCCCTCTCCTTGATGAGCTGGGGGAACAGCTTGCCGTCGTCTGTCTTCTGGTACAGGGTCTCATGGAAGAAGATGACTCCGCCGATGCATGGCTCTACACGGTCGGCCGTGAAGAGGAGCTGGCGGTAAAGACGGCGGTTCTCCTCAGTGTTCTCAGCGTTGATGCTTTGGAAGCGCTTGGCCACGCTGCCTACAGGTGGGTTGGAATGAGGTTAAATATTAATACAATAAATAAAAAATATATACAGTGCATTCGGAAAGTATTCAGACCCCTTCTCCACATTCATTTACGTTACAGCCTTCTTCTAAAAAGGATTAAATAAATAAAAATCTTCATCAATCTACACACAATACCCCATAATGACAAAGCAAAAACAGGTTTTTAGAAATACCTTATTTACATTAGTATTTAGACCCTTTACTATGAGACTTGAAATTGAGCTCATGTGCATCCTGTTTCCATTGATCATCCTTGAGACTGGAGTCCACCGGTGGTAAATTCACTTGATTGGACATGATTTGGAAAGGCACACACACCTGTCTATATAAAGGTCCCACAGTTGACAGTGCATGTCAGAGCAAAAACCAAGCCATGAGGTCGAAGGGATTGTCCGTAGAGCTCAGAGACAGGATTGTGTCGAGGCACAGATCTGGGAAAGGGTAATAAATGTCTGCAGCATTGAAGGTCCCCAAGAACACAGTGGCCTCCATCACTCTTAAATAGAAGAAGTTTGGAACCACCAAGACTCTTCCTAGAGCTGGCCACCCGGCCAAACTGAGCAATCAGGGGAGAAGGGTCTCAGTCAGGGAGGTGACCAAGAACCCGGAGTTCCTCTGTGGAGATGGGAGAACTTTCTAGAAGGACAACCATATCTGCAGCACTCCACCAATCAGTCCTTTATGGTAGAGTGGCCAGACGGAAGCCACTCCTCAGTAAAAGGCACATGACAGCCAGCTTAGAGTTTGCCAAAACGCACCTAAAGGACTTTCAGACCATGAGAAACAATAATAATATAATAATAATATAATATGCCATTTAGCAGACGCTTTTATCCAAAGCGACTTACAGTCATGCGTGCATACATTTTTTTTTTTTTTGTGTATGGGTGGTCCCGGGGATCGAACCCACTACCTTGGCGTTACAAGCGCCGTGCTCTACCAGCTGAGCTACAGAGGACCACAACAAGATTCTCTGGTCTGATGAAACCAAGATTGAACTCTTTGGCCTGAATGCCAAGCGTTACGTCTGGAGTAAACCAGGCACCATCCCTACGGTGAAGCATGGTGTTGGCAGCATCATGCTGTGGAGATGTTTTTCAGCGGCAGGGACTGGGACTCTAGTCAGGATCGAGTGAAAGGTGAACAGAGCAAAGTACAGAGAGATCTTTGATGAAAACCTTCTCCAGAGCGCTCAGGACTTCAGACTGGGGCGAAGGTTCACCTTCCAACAGGACAACGACCCTAAGCACACAGCCAAGACAATGCAGGAGTGGCTTCGGGACTGAATGTCCTTGAGTGGCCCAGCCAGAGCCTGGACTTGAACCCGATCGAACATCTCTGGAGATGGGGTCTGAATACTTTCCGAATGCACTGTATACAGCATACTAGTGAACATGTTATGTGGTCCGGAGTGTGGTCCGGTGTCAATGTGTGGTCCGGAGTCAACAGCACTACCACTATACCAGACTCTGGCACATTAGGTTAATTATTAAAGTGGAACTGACAGCATTTTAACTAATTTGCAGATATGAAACAAACAGACACATTATATCAGTTAAGAATATCTAATTCCCAGTTTATGCTACAAAACCACCTTTATAAAGAGGTTTTAAAGATAGGTTATATTTGATTCAACATTCCATGACGTACAGTAAGGCATTGTTGGCAGAATAGATTCATGGAGTTCACCAATACATTTCTTGGTAGTCCAAAATAATATTGCTATCAGGTTGTAAATCACAGCTGGCCTGCCTGGTACATTGTTTGCTGCCTCCATTCGCGATGCACCGTTTTAGTTTCAATGACTCAATATTTTGGACAAAAACTGACGAATGTTAACTAAGGCTGGGAATCAAACTAGCAAGGGCAATGATCACAAGTCAGTCATAACGTGGCTAATAGGCTAGAGTATCTATTTATGTAGCAAGCTAGATAGCTAGCTGTTAGGAGGATGTCATGCCATTGGAGTTGGTAAGTCATTTACTTTTTCCCCTCATGTTGTTTTTCGTGGCTACACAGCTAGAGATGGAAGTGTCATTTGGTTAGCTAGCAAGAAATGTGAATCGCTTTGCTAGCTAGCTATGCTGAACGACTGTTATCCAGTTAGCATATCTCTTGCGTTCGCAAATTCACTCTGGCTATCTACTCCGATTTCAGAGCACTCTCGTCTGAGTGTGCCAGAGCGCAGAATAACAGATTAATTTATGAATGTGCAACACCCGCTGAATATGACCGGTGTCAGTAAACGTAGGAAAAAAGGTATTAGTTTGTGATGAACGCTCGAGAACATGTAACCAGCCTAACCAGCTCTGCTAGGGCGAGTAAAATGGTCAGAGTGAGGTGTTCTCTCATTTGTGTCTGGAAGTAGCTAGCTAGCAAGATAAGTAACCAACATTAGCCAGTTAGCTTGGTTGCTTGGTTGGGACAAGCATGCATTGGCAGGCAAGCTGCAGAAGGACGAGAAGGCTACTTACTATTCCCCGTCATTTATCAGTGCAATTTTGACAGCCAACTAGCTGAAAAGGTTTAAGAGGGTTTATCTAATGTTCCTTCGTTAGATTTTAGCTCATCTTGCTCTGGCTAGCATTAGTTGTTGACCTTGTTGTTGTTGATGTGCATATAGGGAAAGATAGCCTACCTTTTTATGGTTGTTAGATCAATAGGACTGTAAAGTTCCCAAATGTAAGAGGACTCCTGTGGTATTTAGCTACAGTGCATTCGGGAAGTATTCAGACCCTTTCACTTTTTCCACATTTTGTTACGTTACAGTCTTATTCTAAAATGGATTTTTTTGTTTGCAAAATTATATTTAAAAACAAAACTGAAATATCACATTTACATAAGTATTCAGACCCTTTACTCAAGCACCTTTGGCAGCGATTACAGCCTCGAGTCTTCTTGGGTATGATGCTACAAGCTTGGCACACCTGTATTTGGGGAGTTTCTACCATTTTTCTCTGCAGATCCTCTCAAGCTCTGTCAGGTTGGATGGAGAGCATCGCTGCACAGCTATTTTCAGGTCTCTCCAGAGATGTTCGATCAGGTTCAAGTCTGGGCTCTGGCTGGGCCAATCAAGGACATTCTCGAGACTTGTCCCGAAGCCGGTCCTGCATTGTCTTGGCTGTGTGCTTAGGGTTGTTGTCCTGTTGGAAGGTGAACCTTCGCCCCAGTCTGAGGTTCTGAGCGCTCTGGAAGAGGTTTTCATCAAGGATCTCTCTGTACTTTGCTCCGTTCATCTTTCCCTCGATCCTGACTAGTCTCCCAGTCCCTGCCGCTGAAAAAGATTCCCACAGCATGATGCTGCCACCACCATGCTTCACCGTAGGGATGGTATTGGCCAGGTGATGAGCAGTGCCTGGTTTCCTCCAGACGTGACGCTTGCCATTCTGGCCAAAGAGTTCAATCTTGGTTTCATCAGACCAGAGAATCTTGTTTCTCATGGTTTGAGAGTCCTTTACGTGCATGTTGGCAGACTAAGCTGGCTGTCATGTGCCTTTTACTGAGGAGTGGCTTCCGTCTGGCCACTACCATAAAGGCCTTATTGGTGGAGTGCTGCAGAGATGGTTGTCCTTCTGAAGGTTATCCCAGCTCCACAGAGGAACTCTGGAGCGCTGTCAGAGTGACCATCAGGTTCTCGGTCACCTCCCTGACCAAGGCCCTTCTCCCTCGATTGCTCAGTTTGGCTGGGCGGCCAGCTCTAGGAAGAGTCTTGGTGGTTCCAAACTTCTTCCATTTAAGAATGATGGAGGCCACTGTGTTCTTGGGGACCTTCAATGCTGCAGACATTATTTGGTACCCTTCCCCAGATCTGTGCCTTAACACAATCCTGTCTCGGAGCTACGGACAATTCCTTCGACCTCATGGCTTGGTTTTTGCTCTGACATGCACTGTCAACTGTGGGATCTTATATAGACAGGTGTGTGCCTTCCAAATAATGTCCAATCAATTTAATTTACCGCAGGTGGACTCCAATCAAGTTGTAGAAAGATCTCAAGGATGATCAATGTTAACAGGATGCACCTGAGCTCAATTTCAAGTCTCATAGCAAAGGGTCTGAATACTTATGTAAATAAAATGTCTACAAAACAGTTTTTGCTTTGTCATTATGTGTGTAGATTGATGAGGAAAAATTTTTATTTAATCAATTTTAGAATAAGGCTGTAACTGTAAATGTGGAAAAAGTGAAGGGGTCTGAATCCTTTCTGAATGCACTGTATTTGCAGAAATCCATTCAGGTGTATTTTGTGGCTTTTGCCGAATGCGTTTTAATGATCTGATTGGCTATGGCACACCTGTCTGTGTAGACTCTGGTCCTGGACGGGACAGATGTTTTTATTAGGTTTTATTTACTGCAGTGTCTATTAATTGTCCAAACGCACGGCCGCTATCCCACTCTATATTGCTATAGAATTTTCACAAAATGCCTTACTATACGTAATTCCCAAACATTCTAAGAATTTATGAAAATGTCCATATCTAAGTGCTCGCTTGTCAGAAAATGTACAAATAAAAAAGTGGCATATTCTTTCTGGGATGTATAAGAACAGATTTTAATAAGATTTAATGTTGCTAGAACGCTTTCAGTTCCACTTTAATACATTCCTAAATATACAGTATATACTAGTGTTATGACAATTCCAAATCTCTACTTTGGTTAGCAGGCTGGCCTTGGGACATGAATATTCTGGTTTGAAGTGCAATACCATGCACAGACAAACCCCACAAAATCACCACTTAATAAATACTACATTTGGAAAACTGGCCTTGTTGGCACCAAATGCTCCAAGACATCTGTATTGTAATTTGAATGGGAGGTTTAGTGTCAGCATGCAGGACAGTTTGCCAAGCGTTGTATTTCCGGAGGCTCTCGGAAGGATGGAGGGATATCACCATGGTAACAGCAGAGTGTGAACTTGGATGTTGCCATTCTCCCTTTCAGGGATTG